CACAACTACAGTCACTGAAAAGAAACAGTAGAGTTTGACACGTGAGATGAGCAACAAGCGTATTATTTTCCTCTCCACCGACAGATGAGAGCAGTATTATTGCTGTTTGAGTTTCAGAGAGTCGTGTGAGGAACTACTGAGAGTTTCAGACTGATTTTCTGAACTGAACTGATGAAGAAATGAAGTTTCCACTGATAGTTTTTGTGTTTCTGCTGACGGGTAAGAGCTGAAGATCACTACTAAAAGTGTTTATTATCTAATATTATGGTGTATGTTATCAGTGTACATGAGTAAAGCAGTGTGTGTGTGTGTGTGTGTGTGCGTGCAGTGAGCAGTTCACTGTCTGTGAACATTACAGTGAGTGGAACAGAGGGACGAGGAGTGAGCATTACCTGCCCTTATCCAGAAGGATATTTATATGCTTACAGTTACAAATACTTCTACAGAGGACATTACAGAGACCGTGTCATTATATTAGAATCTGATGGAATACAGACTTTTGCGATGAATGGCAGATTCTCACTGAAGGATAATCGTCAGACCAGATCATTTACAGTGACCATCAGTAACCTGAAGATGGACGATGCTGGACCGTACGGCTGTAAAGCTGGACATGAATATGCAAACTACCAACAAGTGGAGCTTATTGTGATCAGAGGTGCCTGATTTTCAATACTGAACAACAATCTGCTTTATCATTCATGTTTATTGTTTTATGAATGTATTACGGCTTGACGGCTCTTCTTCATTTCTCAGCTCCAGAGACAACAACACGTGTCCAGATCTCAACAACCAGCATTAGTCCATATACAAACAGCAGCACTGAACACACCAGCACAGGTACACACACACACACACACACACACACACACACACACACTGCACCAGCTCATAACTTTTCAGAACTTAATTCCATCAAAATATTAATAGTTAGTGTGGTTGCAGTGAATGCAGAGATATCAAAGCCTCTATACACTATTCTAATGCTGCGTTTATGATCATGATGTAATTCCAGCTCGTTCTGACAAGATAATTCATGTCTTACACAAACTTACACCATCTTGGAAACTGAATTTCATCAAAGCTTCAACTTCTGTGAAAAAATAAACCACAATTACAACATTTAGAGGTTGTGATGTTCCTCAATACTTGAATTAAATGTACAACAACTGAATGTTTGACGCGTCATTTTACAGCCAGTGTTTTTTCTTCTACAGGTAAAGAGTTGAACACCCACCAGGAAATACTGCAGTTCAACTCTATCAGCCAAACACACAAACTACACTACCCATAATGCAACTGCAGCTTTATTGATCACATAAGCACTCTTTGAAAGTAAATTGGTTTGTACTTTTGAGACACATTTTAGCAACTGTATAAACATAAAATGATGCACATATCAGCTTCTGATTAATTTGGTTTGAAATCAATCGTAAAGAGAAGTGTTTCCTTCTGAAGAGTTGAGGTTTACCATTGCAGTTTCACTTCAGTTACACAATATAACACCTGTATATTTACAATATTACAATATCTTTAATAGTACATTAAATATCTGTTGTTTATGTAACAGTATAATCAGAATCCGCAGTGTGTTTCATCATGTAAATATCATGTGTTTAGCGTCGCCTTCAGATCTGGCTTCTGTTGCTGGCGGTCTGGGTTCGGTTCTGCTGGTTCTGACTCTGTGTTGTGGAACCTTCATCATCCTGAAGAAGAGGAAGAGGAAATCTAGGACAGGTAACAGTTTGTTTGTGAGTATTTTTATTATTATATTCTTGTTTTTGTGTGTGATTTGACTTTTCTCTGGTTTTATGCAGCTTTATTTCAGCAAAACATGCAGCACAATACAGAGGTGTGTGTTCAAATCTTTACCTGTAGAAGATCAGAAATACATGTTAAATGATTATTTATTGAACAATAGAGTGTTTAATCTATGTAAACTATTAAATTATTGATGTATGTATTATTTTTCAGACTGATCGCATGTCTGAGGAGATTCCAAACACACACTTTAACATGGCAACGTCTTCATCCAATCAGACACCTTCATCTTCATCCAATCAGACGCCTGCATTACACCTCAACACCTGCACAAATGAATCTACTGTTTACGCCACAGTAACCAATCAGCAGCCTGATTCAAACCCCAGTCACACCCACTCGACCAATCAGACGACAGATACAGCCGGTGATTATAACTACCTAACAGCAACACATCCACAAAACGTCACACCAGACGAGGATCCGCTTGAAGCTCCACGATTCTCCGTCGATTTTCTTGTGTAAAACGGAAATTGTGATTCTCCCACAATACATTCAAGTGTCAAAATACTTTTTTAAAAGATCATTTACTCTTATTTTGATCAAAACCGTGTTTATACCCAAACTATAAACTTGTGTCCCCTTTTTTTAAATGTTTGTAACGCATAAATACTGATAATATGTGGTTGAAAGACAGTTTGTTTGTGAAGCTGCTTCATACATGACAGCGCAAACACAGATTATTTAAATGTTGCAGAGTGAAGATTGTACTTTCGAAAGTTAACCAGTCTGATTTATCACTGCCAATATCAAGCTGTGTCAATTAAACCTTAACACCGTAAAACAGGAATAGAAGACAGCATAATTATGGTCAGTTATGAATAAGATCGCGTGGGTGTTTGAATCGAGATCGTTTAACGATTAATCTGCTACTCTTTTACATTTACTTAGTTGACATTTATTTCATTAGTAGTTTATGCAGCTCTTCAGCATTAAGTTAGTTGAGTTGACATAATTAGTTGATAAACTATTAAAATAAAGATTAAATGCAAGATGCCAGCCATAATTTTCTATAGGAGCATTGCTTGTTCCTGTCACCGTCTTTAAAGGAGCCGTATGTAAGATTGTGGCCAAAATTGGTACTGCAATCACTTTCAAATTACTGTAGAGCGGTGTATCCCCTCCCCCTCCCCCCTGACTCGAGGTTGCCAGATAGGCTGCAGGATCCAGCAGGAACGTAGGCTGCTACAAGGAGCTTTCAACTAGAGCAGAGCTGGCAACTCGGATGCCGAAACACTACTGACTTCGTGATTGGTAGATAGGTGGAGGGTGGGGCTTCAGGCCAAAACACAAGATGACAACATCAACATCAGTTGAGGGCTACAACTTCACTTTTTAAATGACAATATCGTGGCCGTACTACTGTTGTCAGTGATATAAGTATTTGAAATGAACATGATTTCTTAATGTCTAGAGACACATCAGGGCCATTTTATGATTAATTGAAATACATTTCTTACATACAGCTCCTTTAAGGGAACAATCCGTTATAAATATGAAGATTGTATCTTGAATATTTTATTGTATTTTCTATTATAAAGATTGATGTTTTGTTAATAAAAAACACTTTGATGTTGTAAAAAATAAACAACTTATGTTCTGTTGAATGTGTTTTGAAAACTTTTTATGTGTTGTATAATTATACATCTAGGTAATGAAAATATATATTTTAGAAGGGCCTTGGTTATGTTGCCCGGGGCCCGATCTTAACGCAGGGCTAGTTGTAACACGCGTGTCTTAAATACTTCCACACATGCTAGCGTGACGAAACTATTTACATACTAGTTGCCATATCAACACTATATAGAGAAAAAATTGCGCTAAAATTCAAAAATCTTTGGAAGATATCACTGAACATTTATTTAACCATAGCAAAAGCAAATGTCTTATGTTAATTTTTCATCTCTATTTTAATCTCCTATATGTAAGGAGTAACCTAACAGTTGATATGGTTCTTAAATGCTTCGCTAGCAGGGTTTCTAGCAGGGTTTAAACCCCAGTTGTGCAGGCGGGGCACGTTGTCACACTGCGTTACAATGAGCCCCTATTAGAAATATGATATTCTGTTCTATACTTTTATGAATTCTATTCGTAAAACGGTGAATAAAGACTGAGTCAATGTTCAGAAATGATTAATTATTACTATTTTTTGAACTATGTCGTATAGCATAGCTGTGTTTTCCGGTGTTTGTTGTCAAACTCAAAAAATATTTTATTATTTTACTTATTAAAAAATGCCATTATTTTATATGAAAAAGTTAATACTTGTATTTTATTGACAAAATATTTTAGTTTGTCTTGTATATATTTTTTTTTTGATCAGATAACATTATAATCTGTCACATGGTCATGTTATAATCTACTCCACGGGGCATGTTGTCACATTTCACTTCCATTCTTTCGAGGTATTTCAAGACAAAAGTATACACTGTATTAATAAAACAAACCTAGCTTTGCCTCTAGTCCTGGGACCCTGGTGTAGTTCTAGCAACTGCATTTAGGCTTCATGATTCATACAAGTTGTTCATATGTGATAATTATGTTGCAGGACAGAACATGTATGTATCATAAACTATTGTTGATCACAGAGTTTTTGTTTTTTTGCGATTATCCAAAAGCCTGTGGGGAAAATGCTATTGTGTTTTTGTGAGGGATTCAGTGTGATGTGAACGGCCGGCTGGACTACAAGTGTAAGACTCTTCTTTCTTATGACAATGAACACCGGAAGAGAACTGATACTTGAGAAGTTGTACCGTTACTAAAATACTACAGGATAATCATGTTTAAAATAATGGCATTAATTCAGTGTGTTTTACATGAATACGCCTTCATTAAACACATAACAGTCAACAACCATAATACAATAATATTTTATTTTGATCTCATCATTTATATTTATTATGTCCTAGAAGAGTTGTTCACTGGATTGCTGTGTAAAACACTCATATTTACACACTGTAAATGTCACAGGTACTCCTTCCCTCTTATAATGAAGTGGATCATCCCTTCCTCACTGAGTAAAACACTGCTTATATATAAAGTTTGGTGAATCATCACTGATGTCGTGTAGAGCTAGATGTGGTTAGAGACACAGAAAGGGGAAGGATATATATATTTCAGTTGCTGACACACATTTTTCTCTCAGTACGGAAGAGAACGACAGTAACGTTTGTCACAGAATTTGTTCTTTTATTTCAGCGAAACGCTTGTCAAATGTCATGATGTTGGACGTCCTGCTGCTCTTTTCCAGCATCTGTACAGGTGAGTTTCAGACTCTCAGCTCTTTTACACAGAGTTTGACTTCTTCTCTTGTTTTCCTCTTTATCACATGATCATCAGACTCATATGGAGGATATTTGTAAGTTATTATTCTGGCCTGCTTATGTCTCTTTCTCACACATAACGGCTCTATATAATGATATTTGTGTTTTCAGCTGTTGTTGGTGGAGCTTCACAGACAATTACTGGATACAGAGGAGAGAGAGTTGACATCAGATGCTCATATAAATCTGAATATGAATCAAATTCAAAGTATTTTTGTAAAGGGAAGTGTATCTATGGATCTAGAATCATCATGGTTAAATCAGGATCTCCAGCTAAAGACGAGAGATTCTCTCTGACTGACGACACGACGGCCAGAGTTTTCACCGTCACCATCACTGATCTGAGAACAGAGGATGAAGGCCAATACTGGTGTGGTGTGGAGAGGAGTTTTACTGATGTCTATTCAGAGATTGTGTTGCTGGTTATGTTGGGTAAGTGATTAAATATGTTAATAGCAGAAATGAACTGCATGGAAACAAGCTGAGAGTGAGAGATCAAGTCATTAATCTTGTGCAAACCCCAAATCCAGAAAAGTTTGATCATTTTGTAAAATGCAATACAATCTGGGATCTGTGATTTGTTGATTCTCTTTAAACTTTATTTAACTGGCAAAAGTGCAAAGGAAAGATTTCCAATGTTTTCACGGAAAATCTCTAAAAAAATAAATATTATCATCATTTACTCGCCCTCAAACAGTTGATGGACCCCATTGACTAAAATGCTATGGAAGTCAGTCGAGCACATCCACTGTTTAGCTTGAGCAGAATGAGGGCATTTTCTTGTTCCCAGGAAAGATGTGATCTTGATGGCATTAAATGTCTCTGTACAATCCCAGTCAGGGGTGCCGCCAGAAATTCTGGGCCCTATGGAAACCAAAATTTCTGGGCCCCCTACATTTTTTACAGATAAAATGTAACCCAATAAACATGCCCAGTACACTTTAAAAAAATACTTAGCACATTGCATAGTTAAAATGTCTAAAGATGAGTACAAAGGCTACAAAAACAAGAAAAAAATATAGAAATATGTACTTCTTTACATAAAAGGGAGAACATTTATTATCTCAATTGCAGTTGCAAGCACAACAGAACATAATGTACACATATTGACATATACTTTACATGAACAAGCTTTAGCTGGGTCAAACTGCTGAATCAGGAAACATCAGCTCTAACCCATAATTAAATCAGTCCAGGAATAAAACTAGCTAGGCCAAAAGGGCTCAAAATCAAGACCCACCAGGAGTAATGCCAGGCCTAAACCAGTCCAGGACTAAACAAGTACTGAACCAGACATCAACTGTTTGTTATCCTGGTCTAACAAAGTTATGTTCAACATCACTTTATAATGGCCCAGCGGCGTGCCTTTCTGCTGGCAAAATCATGTATCAAATCATCAAAGTTCAGCTTTTTTGCCAGTTTGCTTTCAATGGGTAGTATGGCAAGGTGACAAAGTCTATCTTGCAACATAGCAGACCTCAGATCATTTTTGATCAGTTTCAGCTTACTGAATGCTCTCTCGCCGCCAGCAACGGTCACAGGCAGTGTGCAAAATATTCGCAAAACTATGCAGACCTGCCCAAAAATACTCTGCAGCTGCATCTTGTAAATGCTGTTGAGCAGATCAATTGGTGACAGACACCCTGGGAAAGTGGCCCTATATACAGAGTTGAGGTGTCTGACTTCATCTTCAAATTCACAAGTCAGGTCAGTGTTGTATTTTGAAATCAATGGCTGGCATACAGCGTGGATTTGATCATCACGTAACTGACCCATTTTTACAACTACAGAAAACTGATCCAAGATCTCAGCTGTTGTGGCAAACCTGGTACTTAAGTCACTGATTATGTGGTCCATCATGGGAAGAAACACAGTGTTTCTGAATATGGTGTCTGCACTGTGCTCCCTTGCTCCCTCTACCTCTGTCTCATCGTGAAACCGTTTTCTTTTCCTCTGGCGGCTGAATCCTGACCTGAACAGAGAGTTAATGCTCATCTGTTGGGCAACAAGTGATGCTTCAGAAAATAAACTCTCCCATTCATCCCTCAGATGTTGCATCTCCTCCTGCAAAGCTCTGATATTTTCTGCCTCTGTCTCAAGAGTTAATTTCCCTGACTGGAGAATAACATTCCTTTTGTCAATGGCTTGCAGAACTTTGACCCAAACAGTCAACAGAAAAACAGTATCAAAAGTTTCAAAATACTTTTTTAGGCCGCTGGCTTCAGACCGAGCCTCTGGTGTCAGACTGCAGGTTGAGAAGATGGCATCAAGAGCTTCTAGGACACTGGGCAGGTGCTTGGCTAAAGGTTGAACAGCCTTAACCCTTGCACTCCACCGAGTGTCTGACAGACGATGTAAAGTGCAACCCGTTTTTGCCTTATAGATGGCCCATCGCTCTGGGCTGGCACTAACAAGTGCATAAAGGCAATTGACAAAGCCAAAAAAGTTGGTAACCTCTGGACTTGATTGAGCTGCATGCACACCAACAAGGTTCAGAGTATGAGATGCACAAGGGGAAAAAGTAGCCAGCTTATTCTTTTTTAATAATTGGGCTTGAACCCCCTTGACTTTTCCAGACATGTTTGCCCCATTATCATATAGCCTTGGCCCCTGCAGTCATTCAGATCTATGCCATGACTGTTAAGCACATTTACAATCATGTCTGCAATCTCACTTCCTGTTTTTTTTTTTGTGAAAATCTTTAAACTCCAAAAACCTTTCAACAACCTCCCATTTCGTGTTTTCTTGATCAAAACCTACATATCGTAAGAGTAATACATTTTGCTCTGTATGTGAAATATCAGGAGTAGCATCGCAAATGACTGAATAATAGACTGATTCCTCCCTTTCCTTAAGAATACTACTTAACACTCGTTTTCCACATAACTCAATAAATTCGTTCTGAATATCTGAGCTTAAATAGTGTGTCAATCTTGTTCCTGTTTTTTTGTCTCTGACTTTTTGTAGATGTTCGTTGAGTAGTGCGTCATAATGGGACAGGAGCTCAAGGGTGCCCAATAAGTTGCCATTATGTCCCCCAAGTCTTTTGTTTTACCCCTAAAGGGTAAATTTCGAGCGGCCAAGAACAAAGTTACATCTAGTATCCTCTTCAGAATAGCTCTCTTTTTGTCTATTTCTGTTTGTATGAGCTTATTCAGCTGGTTGTCTATTCCCCCAGGGACAGCTGCCATTACAGACTGTTGTAAGGTTTTCCATTTTAAGTAGCACTCCCTGTGTGCTTTGCTGCTTTTGTGGTTAGGGAATTTATCATACATTCGACGCCATGTTATGTCTTTGATTTTATAACCATGTTGACTGCTTAGTGTGCTCATACAAGGTTTCTTTAGCTCATGACCAAATAATACACAAGGAATACAAAATAGTGCATTTGTGCTTTGGCTGTAAATGACTCAGTCTCTCTTAATCTTTTCCCTGCAATTTCCTGACTTTGTGTACTTGAGGTATTCGGGGAAGGCTTAACCTTTTGAATCATGTGGCATTTCTTGGTCTTTATCTTTAGAAGAAGCTATTTTTTTCCACAATTTTTTCTCTGTCTTCATTGCTAATTTTTGCTGGCCACAAACCAGGATCATTTGACACAACTGTCTCTTCTTCATCTTCCTCTAAGTCTGCTCTCATGGCTTCCCCTGTTCTCTCATCTTCCTCTCTTCTGTTATCTTCCTTTAAACTTAGGGCTCCCTCTGTGCTCTCATATTCCACTATTCTCACCGCTTCCTCAACTTCCACACTCTTTCCTGGCAAAACTCTCTGTCTCTCTCTTGTTTCTGTGGAGTTAGGATAGCAAAATCATTTTTGTCCCCCAGTCAACAAGTTACAGCTTAGAATTAATATTTTCTTAACTGCATTGTTGAATAATATTATATGAAACATTCTATACAACACAAGAAAAAAATTAGACAATCCAAAACTTAATTAGTTTTTTACTACCTTGGTAGCTTACCATGTTCACCTTACCTGACACTGAGAGGACTGGGTCATTAGTAGGAGAACGAGGTGCAGACAATAAAGCTGACTCTGCATCTGTTTAAGTCAAACACACACACGTAATAATAACCATATTATTTTTATTGGCCTATTTAGTTTTCTTAATATAAAATATTAAAATATCTATTTTGTAAACTCCTTTCAATACTGTAGAATGGTTACTACAGACACATGTTTTATTCAATTTTATATTATTTTTTCTGGGGCATTTTATTCACATTAAGAACGTCATTTTAGAAACTGATTTTGTAATTTTTGAAGCGTGTAGATTACTTTTTGTTTTAAAAAGTTATCATCATGTGGCGAACACAAACGTGTTTAGAGGCTTCAATCTTCGAGAAGTTTCGCGCTCAGGCTCACCTTGTTCGGCTGAGACGGGGGACGTGGGGGGAGGAGGACGTGGGTGTGCAGCAGCCGCTGAATCTGTGTCTAGTGCGAGACATGATAACCCCGGAGACAGCAGAGATGTTATTATTGTTGGATGTAAATCACAATTCAGTAATTATTTTACTAAGCTAGCTAGATAAAAGCAGGTCATGTAGCAACAAAAATCTCTGAAAGTTTTGGAATACAGGAATAGGGCAAGCTACCTTTCTTTTTGAAAAACTGTGTGACATACTGTCGACTTTGGCGTTCTCTGTCTTTTCTTTCCTTCTTTTCTTTACGTTTTTGATGCCCTGACTTTTGATGTGACATGCCTGCGTGTGTCACTGTCTGCACTGCATCATAGCGAGTGCAATAGCAAGAGACGCTAGCGATCGTAGCTCGGACAGCGCAGGTGGAATGAACCATTGTGAGGGGGAGGGGTGTGACTGAAACAGTAAATACATTATTTGTTTTTTAAATATTAAATCTATGGTCAAAACGGACAAATTACACATTTAGTGTGCATCAGGGGCCCTAGCACATTTAATGTATGTATGAAAAAGAGAAAATAAATAAGAAAAGAAAAAGGGGGTCTGCTCTTCTGGGCCCTAAATCAGCCTGGGCCCTTAGAATCGTCCTAACCTTCCACCCCTTTACGGCGCCCTTGATCCCAGTATACGTCTCCACATCACTGCACCTAAGTTCACACACGTGTTAGTCCCTGACCCTGGCGTTTGCACTGACGCTCCAGGACAGAGGTTTGCTTTTGCACCTTTAACTGATGAAACTCTGGACAAACATGGACTGATCTGAGCACAGCTCACACATCCACTGTTAGATCATCTGAGAAGAGCTCGAGCTCAGAGAACTCACCGGCATCTCTGCATTAAACTGATGTACAGCTTTCTCCTTCAGTTACACAGATTCTTGATTTCATTGCAGTTTATTTTCCTTTTCTGGATTCGGTGTTGTCAGCTGACTCATATAGTTGTATTGGGTTGATTGTCTGCTTATACTTCAGTGTGTTGAGTGTAAAATACAGTAATAATGCCTACAGTGGCTGTGTGTTAGAAACAGTGATTAAAACAGAGATTAAATATAAGATTGTATGTATTTTAAATTAAATTCAGTGTTCGTGTTTTAAGTTGATCTTTCCTGTGACCCTTCAGGTAATGAGACCACTGAGGTTTCAACCATCAGCACTTCTTCAAAAACACCGTCATCTTTCAGTACAACAGAACTGAGTCCACAATCAGGTCAGTTCTTCTGTCTGTCGCTCTATATGACTCTTATTTCTTGAATATTGTGCTTCTAAACGTACTTGAATTCATTTATATATGTTAGATGATTCCTTTGAGATTAAATGTGTTAAAGTTGAAGACTGAAGGTTCAGTCCTCAGATGTTTGCTCCCGCTTATTAAAACTGTACAAGTTGCTTTGGATAAGAGTGTCTTAAGAATGAACATTAACATATTTTCAGTTGAGAGTAATCAGTGTTATGAATAAAAGAATATACACAGGGCCGGATTAAGAATTCAGAGGGCCCTGGGCACAATGTCTTGTAGGCCCCCCCTAGGCAGGCCAAATGTAGTTTGTCCAAGGACATTTTAATTTGGCATTAACTGTATTACTGACTTAAAAGGAACTTTGTTGTACATATTACTTCATAAATGATCTGTGTTTCCCATAGGATTTTATAAAACTATGTTGGGTGGAACTCTTGAAAATTTTGTACATTTTAAGGTTAAATGCATCAATCTGGTGCACTTTGAGAGCTCACAATAAAGAGCTTCAACCCATGAACTGTGCACATTGAACAAAGAAAAAGCATTGACTTGTACCTGGACATTAAAGAGGGCTCAAACATCTTTTTAGTTATGATATAGAGTCTCAGTCTGCATTACATTATCACTGGTGTTTTAGGATGCCAAACAATTATTATAATAATGATTTATATAATTATTCCTATGACGTAAAATCATATACCTCCTATAAATGTAGCCTAAAAGTATTTTGCATTACATTACACAGGAAAAGTACAAAAGTGTCCTAATTTCTTTAATTGCCAGAAATAAACCCTTGAGCTTTCATTTTGGAGAAAACACCAGATCACCATGCTGATCGCGTGAGCAAAGTGCACACTTCTATTTAAATCACGCAGCACAAACAGAATGCCATAGGCTACTTAAAGTCTTTTGCTGTTTTATAACGGCACGAAGCAATATCACAGTTTCAATTTGACTTCGTTGGCAAAATATAACGCTAAACAGTCGAGACCTTTATGTTAGGCGACCGTGGGCAACTGCTTCTCCATCACTTCAAATTTCAGAGCGTCAAGTCACGCGACGCGAGTCGACATGATAGCCCGCTCTCGCTCACTGCGCAGGAATACAGACGCTGTTTTTGACGCGATTTAACATTATATTTTGATCGAATGGGTTGCAAAAATATGCATATAATTAGGAAAGTGAGGACTGCGTTTATAACGTGATCTAACATAATATTTGACGGTGCGCAGGGCCCCTTAGATGTCATGTGCCCCTGGGCAAGTGACCAGTTGCCCTAATGGTTAATCCAGCCCTGAATATACATCTTCTGTCCATATTCACGTGATGTGAATGGTTTGTGTGAATGTAGAGCTTTAGAGTTTATATGTGTTCATGTTCTCACTACATGAGCGACACATTCACAGTCACTGTTTCTCTCTGTCAGCGACTCATCACACAGAAACTGAAACAACAACAGGAAATACTACAGTTCAACTCCATCAGACAAACACTAGTAAGAACACAAACTACACTACCCATAATGCAACTCTCTGATCACATAGAATAAGCTCATTTTGGAGAAAGGAAATTGGTTTGAACATTTGTGGAGGCTCGTACTCGTGTGGTTAACATGCTTTGACATCGACCACAGATAGAAGCGTTTCCTTCTGAAGAGTTGAGGTTTACCATTGCAGTTTCATTTCAGTTACACAATATAATACAGACTATTACAATATTCAATTGTACTATTGTCACACCGAGGCAGACAGAGGAATGTTGATTTCAAACGATAATAAGATTTAATGAAACAAGCAGATGAACAGAATGTAACAGCGTGTAATAGACATGCACACACGATCAATAACCGACAGGGACTGAACTGAACGGGGAGAATATATTCACAGGGTAAACGAGGGAACTAACTAGACACAGGTGGAGGAAGGTTAACTAATTAGGGACTAACAAGAACAGGTGAAGACAAGACAGAACAGAATGTGACAACTATAATACAAATTATTTAAATATCAATTACAAGAACATTAATAATCACTTAACGGTGTAATCAGAATCAGCATTGTATTGTTGTGTTGTTCAGATCTGGCTTCTGTTGCTGGCGGTCTGGGTTCGGTTCTGCTGGTTCTGACTCTGTGTTCTGGAACCTTCATCATCCTGAAGAAGAGGAAGAGGAAATCTGGGACAGGTAACAGTTTATTTTTGATTATTATTGTTATTATTAATTTATATTTTAGTGTGTAAATTCAATTGACTTACTCTCTATTTTCATGCAGCTTTATTTCAGCAAAACATGCAGCGCGATACAGAGGTGTGTGTTCAAATCTTTACCTGTAGAAGATCAGAAATACATGTTACATGATTGTTTATTGATGAGCAGAGACAATTATTTATATTAACTAGTAGATTATTGACGTATGTGTTGTTTTTCAGACTGGCCGCACGTATGAAGAGATTCCAAACACAGTCGTCACCGTGGTAACGTCTTCATCCAATCAGACGCCTGCATCTTCATCCAATCAGACGCCTGCATCACACCACAACAACTGTACAGAAGTCTCTACTGTTTACGCCACAGTAACCAATCAGCAGCCAGATTCAAACCCCAGTCACACCCACTCGACCAATCAGGTGACAGAGACAGCCGGTGATTATTATGCCAATATAAAGTCTCCTGAAGCAACACAGGACAGCGGGACAGAACTGATCTACGTAACAGCAACACATCCACAAAACATCACAACGCATCCGCATAACGTCACAACACACGAGGGTCCGATATATTCAGTGATCAACCATAAATGAAAAAGAGTCTAAAAATTTGGTAAAATCTACATTGCTTTATTTATTCAATCTTTTGTCACACTTTTCTGTAAAAAACGCAGTTTATAAAGTGTATAATGTATAAATAAAGTTCACAGTCATCTTACTAACAAGATAAGCTTCTACCGACTGTGAATAACATATATTTTTTTGTAATTATTACACCTCATCTAAATAAATATAAATAGCTAAATTATCGAATTATGTTGTACTTTAACCCTCTGGGGTCGGCAATCACACCGGCGTGATCTGCTCACTTTTTTTCTTATCAGTGCAAAACAAACTCAAAATACTTTGTTGATTTTGATCTTACATATAAGTGTTACACATCATTCAATACTGTTAAATGTCTTCTTTTTTTGTGTACACTCTTATTAACATCAAAACCTTGTGTTTTTGTAAAATAAACAGGTTGCGCTTTCAGCTCACTCTGTCTCCGCAAAAATCTTTCTGAAACGCGTCCGAAAAATGAACTGTAACTCAGTAAATACTTGTCACAGAGACACGAAAGATTTCTCTTTATGAAGCTGAAATTCTCTTCTTTTAAATGAAGTAATTTATATAAAAAAGCAACTATTCTCAGTTGATGTAACTTTGATGTAAACGTTAATGTTGAGGCAAGCCATGAAAACGCCCACATCAGAACGCCCTAACCTTTATCTCGTCTTGCTGTGCAGTGAGGAATAATTCCTGGAAAAGTTAACTCAGTTACCTGTTTCATTTCAAGGAGCACGGATTCAGCTGATGTAGTAAGTCATTTATTCTTAAGTGCTTGTTCTAATCGCGTTATTGAATAGTGTCACAGTTATTGAAAACTGCACAAAGACTGTTTAAATATTAAATGCGTGTCTGTGTGCGAATGAATGGACGAATTCACAGACACGCGCGCGCTGTGCGTTCATTCACTCTCGCTCCAACATTAGTAAGACTAGCCTACTGAGATTTGTTCTAATCGCGATATAGAATAGTATCTGTAAAACCAAAAAGACTGTTTAAATATGAATCGGATGTCTGGGTGTGTGAACGAACGAACGCACAGATGCATAGCCTACTGTTACAGACGAAACAGATTAGAAAGTTTTTACTATAAAATAGACATCAAATAAGCTTTAGTTAGACAGTTTCTGCTCATATGTTAAATATATTGTATGTTTTGTCAAAAATAAACTAATCAACTGTTATCCAATGCAAGCTTATAATTCTTTATATGGAATTTTTTTTTTTTTTTCAAGATGTTTCCAACTCTAACTTTGAACCAATTCTATACAATGACCCATATAACCTATTTGACCAGGATTTGTTTCCAGGTATGACTAAAAATGGGTTTTTGACTTTCATTTATATTTTGATTTTATATATATATATATATATATATATATATATATATATATATATATATGTATATATATATGTATGTATGTATGTATGTGTATGTTGTCCTTTCAATTTTTCCTTGTGTGAGACCTGAATGAAAGGCTCATTATTATGCGGGTCAGGTGAGAATCACCTAATTATTAATGATGGGGTTTGGACTGTTAACACCCATTCGCATATTGCCTTGGCAAACAAAAACAAGTTTTTCACAATAAAACCCAATTCACAGTTTTATGTGAATGATTAGGCACTAATAGGCAGGATGTTTTTCAGATCATTTTGAAGAAAAAACACTAGGCAACAATATCCATTAGTCAAAAGTCTTGTGGACACATATTTATTATGTGTTTTGTAGCCTTATTTCAGAAACTTTCATTTTTTGTTTTTTCAATAACCACGCATAAACAATATTCTCTCAAATATACAAACATGTACATACATGTTGCTCACATATTATGGTACCCCTGTTTGTGCTAAATATAGTGTAATTTCACCTGTGCCATTAATATGTTTAAAAGCAAATGAAAAAAAAAACATCTCAAGGACCCCAAAAACACCTTAGACCCCAGAGGGTTAAAATCTTGAATTAATGATATCTGCATACAGTCATGTTGGTTCTGTTGTTTACCCTAATTGGGTTCTTGCTGCTCTTATCCATGCATGGATGCACAGGGAGTTCTCTCCCAAACCGCAAATCCAAACTGTATGCTAATTGTCAATCGTATTTGACGATAGTGGTCCTGACAGAAGTGATTCTGGTGTCTCAGAGTCAGTGTCGCCAGATCTGAGTAACAAAACTAACCCAATGACCCTAATCCACAAATCAGAACTCAAAATATGCACTCCATACCTAAAATAGATATTTTACAGTTTTTTTTCTACTTCAAAAACACTCTGACACTCAATATGATATCTACCAGCAGGGGTTAATTGGGTTAATATGACATCTACCAGCAGGGGTTAATGGGTTAATATGACATCTACCAGCAGGGGTTAATGGGTTAATATGACATCTACCAGCAGGGGTTAATGGGTTAATATGACATCTACCAGCAGGGGTTAATGGGGTTAATATGACATCTACCAGCAGGGGTTAATGGGGTTAATATGACATCTACCAGCAGGGGTTAATGGGGTTAATATGACATCTACCAGCAGGGGTTTATGGGTTAATATGACATCTACCAGCAGGGGTTAATGGGGTTAATATGACATCTACCAGCAGGGGTTAATGGGTTAATATTACATCTACCAGCAGGGGTTAATGGGTTAATATGACATCTACCAGCAGGGGTTAATGGGTTAATATGACATCTACCAGCAGGGGTTAATGGGGTTAATATGATATCTACCAGCAGGGGTTAATGGGTTAATATGACATCTACTAGCAGGGGTTAATGGTGTTAATATGACATCTACCAGCAGGGGTTAACCCTCTGAGGTCGCTTTTTTCTTATCAGTCCAAAAGAAACTCAAAATACTCTGTTGATTTTGATCTAACATATTAAGTGTTGTACATCATTAGATCCTGATAAGTGTCTATTTTTTTTGTGGATACTCACAATAAAAACAAAGTGTTGTGCTTTTCGCCAAATAAAGAAAAACAAACATGATGCGCGTTCTGCCTTCTCTCTGTCAGTTAAGTCTATTCTGAAACGCGTCCGAAAATTAACTGTAATTCCGCGAATACTTGCCATACAGGCACGAGTGTTTTTCCATAATGAAGCTTGAACTCTCTTCTTTTAAATGAATTAATTTATATAAAAAAACAAATATTCTCAGTTTATGTAATCTGTATGAAAAGAGAGAGATGTCAGTATTTTTCTAACTGACCCCTTTTACAACAAAAAAACTATGTCCAAAGATGACACAATTATACGGTTTCTCTTAAACCAAAAATGATAACATGTAAGCACAGAATTTAAACTTCAACAATCAAAATTATATTATCCATCCACTTTCACTTACTTTTCTAATGTTCTTTATTCAAGTGTTCTGTACTTTTCCATACTGTTTAACTTATATCTTTTCTTAAATGCATTAATAGTTTTAGAGCTCTTAAGTTGAATAGGAAGACTGTTCCATAAATCAACTCCTTGAACTGATAAACACCTCCTCTTAATATTACTCTTCGCCATGGGTTTTTGTAACAAATTAATTCCTCTGAGGCTATATCTACATTCCCTGATTCGAAACATCTCTTGTAAACAGTGAGGAAGCATAGAATTGTGAGACTTGTACATTACAACTGCTGTGCAAACATCAACAAGATCATGACATTTTAATATATTTAATCTAATAAAAATTGGATTTGTTGGGGCAAGATATTGAGCATAGCTGATTACTCTAATTGCTTTCTTCTGTAATAAAAAAATAGGTTGTATATTAGTTTTATAGGTATTCCCCCATATTTCCACACAATAGCTAAGGTATGGACAGATGAGGGAATTATACAATATATATAATGCGTTTTGATTCACATGCCGCAATGCATACCGCAATGCATGCTGGGAGCCATAATAATATAAAACGTATGGCTCCCAGCATGCATTGCGGCATGAAGCATGTTACCATTGTTGAGATTCATATGCTGATTCTTGATGTCTGTGTCTTGGAAAAAAAAATCCCCATAATGTATTTTAAAAGTCAAAAATTAGAATGTCCAATTTGTGGCAAGAGAGTATTGTTAGTGAATATAATGTACTAACATCATATAACCACTTTTGGACAGTGATGAGATAAGTGCATTATTCTATTTTTTGTTGTTGAAAACTATATCACCTGATCATCATTGTTTTTGGCTTTCTTTGTAACAAACTACATGTTTTGGTAAAATCTGTTACAAAAACCACAAACTCAGAATAAAAGCCAAGAGTCAAATCTGACCAACTAAAGGAAACACTCATCGCCATAATGGTGATCAAACATTTTCAATAAATCATCAACATCTAAGACCTTCTGTAGACTTAACAGAAATGAAGTCGGTCTGGTTAGTAATAAGTGAAGCTGGTAATGCTGTTTGTGGAGTTGTTTAATCCTCCTCTGCTGAGAACTAGAGAGATTTAATGTATTTTGTCTACATTTGATTTCATCTAAGGCTGTGGCTGGAAGTCAGTTGTAGTTCTTGTGTTTATCTTTTTTTCTGTTCTTGTTGTTTCTCTTTCCTTCAGTGATTCTGCTTGTTGACAGCAGGTGTTCATCATTAATGCCCAATCATCACTTAATTAATCACTTAAGTATCTCATTAACTTTAACTCTGATTCAGAGTTATTTTAACTCTATGTGGAGAGGGACCAAATGTTCTCTGACCAGAGTTAATTTAACTCTGGGGATTTTGCTGTATACTGAATTCAAAAGTAACTCAAGATCTTTTCCCGAAACGTACAACTAGTATCATCAGCAAATAGGATACATTGTAATTTAATAAGGACTTCACAAATGTCATTAATGTACATAATAAATAGTTTAGGTCTCAGAACGGAGCCCTGAGGAACACCGTGGGTTATTTTTGCCTCCATTGAACGGATACCGTTAATATGTACATACTGATTACGGTCACTTAGATAACTTTTCAGCCAAGTGCACAGCAAAATCACCAGTGTTAAATTAACACTGCTCAGTGTTTATATGAGTCCACACTCAGAGAGTTTTAAATGAACACTGATGCA